TATATATATATACACACACACACACACACACACACACACACACACACACAGACATCACTTACACAATGAGTCAACAGTCAAATAATAAAAATGAAACAAATCACCATCAAGCTGAAGACCCTGTGGCGATCTGCTGTGTGTCTCCATGACTGAACTGAGCTCTGCAAGGCTGTCAGTGCCTGATGTTTTGGCAAGCGGGTGCCCTGGCCTTTCTTTTCCGACACTGCTGAGTGGATTTGAACCTCCAACTTCTTGCCTGGCAGAGGAATGTCCTCCCCTCCCCTTGTGTGGCTCCATTCAAATAACAAAACTGGCTCTATTAAACCTACTTACCATTGAAGGGATTGATCCCTGCTCTGATTCGTGAAATAACAGCTTCTTTGACTTCTTTTTTCTTCACACATCGAATACCCAAATTTTGAAAGCTAGAATGGGGGGAAAAAAAATAGAAAACTTTTAAAACAGTATCACAGTTAAACACAGACACATCAACAAGGTTCTACTTGGAGAAAGCAAACATATACCCAACACCGAAAAGTTACCAAAGCGGAAGAGGGGGATACTGAAGCGTGAAATGTCTTTCGAAGCACTGTGATAAGAAACACAGAAGTAAAAAATACAGTTCTATTTCTTCAAGAATTGTTAAAGGAGAAGTCTATATCATTTATGCATACATTTTATAATTACGCTTTACAAACGGGGCCCAAAAGAACCCATTCTGGTTGTACAGTGTGTAACCAAAAGGCTGGTTGGTAGAATCTCGTAGCTGCTCCATGGGAGAAAGATGGTCCCTCTCCTCGCACAGACTCAGAGCCTCAAGAATCGCTCGTGGGCTGCGGTGAGGTGACTTGAGAGCAGCCCACACGCTGCCTAAGGAGCCCTGTGGCCCGCGATTTAAACACTCAGATGCTAACCAATAGTTCCTCAGCATCAAAGACCTGGCGAGCTCCCACCCCCTCCGTTCTACAGCCCCATCATGAAAGAGACCCCACTCAAAGGACGCAAAGGCAAATAACATGGCTCTGTCCAATACACCTGCCAAGGGAGAGATCAGCAGGGAAGGAAAATCAGAAAGCTACAATTTGCCTCCTAAATCCCCCATAAGATCTGAGTGCTGGTGTCAGAAGCTGTAGAAAGATGCCTACAGGTGTGTTCTGTTGAGCCCACAGAGGACAGCCTGCATTTAAAAATGTGTAACAGTTTGTAACATTTAAAATATCAGGTCATGACACAGAAAATATCTGGACCGCTGGTTCATTTTGTACATTTTAGAAATCTAACAGCACCAGGCTGGCACAGAAACAGCTGGCCAGAGGGGCTGGGAAACCTTCAGCTTCTAACAGGCCCTGACAATCCTTTCACACCTGACCCACCCACTCTACCCGGTTACATGCCCTGCCTATCCACACACCTCCTCTGACCCCTGATTTCAGTACTAGTAAAAATGGATTATACTATGGTTTTTGCCCTATGACAGGAATGTATAATCACCCATCATTTCAAAAAACACACTGAAATAACGGTGTTTCTTTTCTGTTTAGAAAATAAGAAAGATGTTCAAGACTAATGGTGATATGCAACAAATGTTTCAAAATGTCTTCTATGGAAAACTTTTTCAATAGCTACAAATATTACTAATTTGCATCTGTGGAGCACAGAGTCTGGTGGAGGGACTCCCCCTCACCACCAGTCATGCCTGTTCCCACATGGAAAAACCATGACATCATCAGGGCTGGGTGGGTGCGAATAAGGAAGCAAAACCCAATTATAATCACATTACTGTCTGTTTCAATTTCATAGGGCACTTGGCTGCCTGTGTCCCTATTCCACACTCACGCTCAGCTCAATGTTCATGCTCTTCATTCCTCACTTTATGATCCTGCCAGCGCAAAACTACCTTTGTTACTGCCTTCCTCTGCCTCTAGCAACTAAAAAAGAAATCGTGCAGTTTTAATCTTTACTTGAACCCCTAAAAGTACACTCTTCTTCCTCAAGTGTACTCTATCTCCTTGAAAGAATCTCTTAGTTCTTTCCTTTTCTAACCACAAAGGTTTTAAAGAATTCTTCACTTTATCTTGTTTAGATACAATACTTTTTGGCTTTGTCTTACCCAAATAATCATATTTGACTGCTATTCACAGACTATCAGATGTAGTGGGGATTTCTAAAATTTTGACGTGAGAAGATCAGACTCCCACAGAATAAGGGACTTCTTTAAAAAGAACTTCTTTCAAATAGTCAAAGGTTAAAAAAAAAAAAAAGAAAACCAAACATTTAAGGGTCTGAAGCAGCCAAGGAACCAATTAGATAGTTACTAATTTCCCATTCAAAATCCACCAGCAAGTTCTGAGGTTTTTATAACGTGCCAAAGCCTTCAGAAAGCACTGGATGGACACAATTCCCTTCCCCTGGACCCTACAGTACACTACAGGGGCTGGCACACCAAAACCATAGAACAAATCAGGCCTACCAACTATTTCTGTAATGACATTTTATTACATCACCACCACACTCACTTTGTTTATGTAATGATGCACCACATTGGGCCAATCTGCCGGAAAGAACCGCGGGGAAGTGCCAGAGGGCAAGGCCATCACTTTGGTGACTAAGGTAGGCCGAACACAAGCCATGGTACTTTCAGTTACTCAACGTGCATGTGAAAGGGAGCTCTGGTGGCTTAGTGGTAAGGAGCTGCGCTGCCAACCTGCAGGACCACAGTTCAAATCCACCAGCTGCTCCTCGGGTGAAAGATGGACCATCTCCTCCTGGTGATTTACTGCCTCTGGAGGGTCAGCTATGAGTCAGTTCTAACTTTATGGCACAACATAAGCAGGTGGAAGTTGGATGGTGAATAAGAAAGACTAAGAAAGGAAGGAATAAGGACAGTGAATAAGGGCAGGAATTGGACAGTGAATAAGGAAAACTAGGTCTTCAGATTGTAATGAAGACAATGAATACTGAATATACTGTCAAAATAACAACTCTGACTTGGAAGGGGTGCAGCCAGGCTAGAACGCTCCTTAGAAGCAAGGATGGTGAGGTATCGTCTCATATACTTCGGGTATTTTATTAGAGGCCAGTCCCCGGAGAAGGGCGTCATGCTTGGCGAAGCAGAGGGTCAGCAGAACAGGGGAAGACCCTCAACGACACAGCGGCTACAAGAGGCTCAAGTACAACAACTGTACGGCTGGTGCAGGACTGTGCCGTGTTTTGTTCTGTTGTGCACAGGGTCACCGTCCAGCACCTAACAACAACAACACAGCTGCTCTTGTTCTCCAACAGTAGAGCTGAGTATCTGTGACAGGGGCCATCTGGCCTGCGAAACAAAAAAAAATATGTACTGATCCTTTACAGACAAAGTCCGCTGACTGTTCGTCTAATACATGAGGTAGTAAATATCACAAGCACAAAAATATAAGCAGAAATCATGACAAGTTTTTTTGTTTGTGTTTTTTAAGGAGATGAGCCTCTAATGAGAAGCGAGGAGGGAGCTCCAGGGACTTAGCAGTAAGGAGTTTCACTGGCAACCCGAAGGCCCGAGGTTCAAACCCACCAGTTACTGTGGGAGAGAAAGATGGGAGAGCTCCTCCCAGGAGATTTACAGCCTCTGAGAACCTGCTGGACGTCAGCTCTGAGTCAGTTCCGACCCGATGGTACATAACAGAAAACAACGGCAGGAAAGAGAGTCTATCAATTCAGAGAGGACTAGTACGCTTCCTGCAGGAAGTAAGACATAATAGGAATAGAAATGAACTAGGTAAAGAGGAGAAGAGACAAGGTAAGGCAGAAGAGACTATGCAAAGGTCCCTAAAGAGGAGCTCTGTGAGCACAGGAAAGGAAGGATGGCCTGTGAGCCTGCAGTGTAGACATCAGAGGGAACTCTTACACAGATGGCCTGTTTACTGCAGTGGAGACATCAGAGGGAGCACTTACACTTGAAGGCCAGTGTGCCTGCAGTGTAGACGTCAGAGGGAGCACTGATACTAGAAGGCCAGTGTGCCTGCGGTGTAGACGTCAGAGGGAGCACTGACACTAGGAGGCCAGTGTGACTGCAGTGTCGACATCAGAGGGAGCACTTACACTAGAAGGCCTGTGAGCCTGCAGTGTAGACATCAGAGGGAGCACTTACACTAGAAGGCCTGTGAGCCTGCAGTGTAGACATCAAAGGGAGCACTGACACAGATGGCCTGTGAGCCTGCAGTGTAGACGTCAGAGGGAGCACTGACACAGATGGCCTGTGAGCCTGCAGTGTAGATGTCAGAGGGAGCACTTACACAGA